CCTTACCTCAATATATTGACTTTAGACTCAGAACATGTTCTTTTTATTTGTATGGACAGGTATTTGTAAATTATACTTTTATGTAAGGGAATTGAGCCCACAAATAAACATTAGAGTTGCTTCATTTAGGACCAGTTTCCTCTAATAGCAGAATAAATACAGAGCAGCGGGTTCTGGATTTACCCTGAAAAGACAGAGCTGAATTAGGCCCATATGTGTATACACAACCACCACCCACACTGGACCAAATGCTGACCTCATTTATACCTATTCAGCTGCAATGATTAAATGGGCTACACAGATCTAGTAAGAGCAGGATTTGGCCTGCTCTACTTAGCTCATTTTCTGAACACTTGAAAGAGGTGGCCAAGATAGTCTCAGGAAATTCAAATGTATACAAGCAAAGGAAAAACATTGTGAATGAGAAGCTGCTGCGTGCAAAAATAATCTTAGGTGAAACTTTAACTCCTAAATATAAATCTTGTTTTCAGATACCCGAGACAGACTTATCTATCCCTCTCTGAAGCTTTAAAGCAGTTTTTAATCACGTACAGTACACAATAGTAAACAGTAAAGAATTCAGTTATTTCTGAAACATTATTTTGAGGTTATGTTTGAGTCCTTCATATTTATGTGATGAGAATTATGTCACAAAGTTAATCATTCCCAGGACACTAGCATCCAGGGTAATGAAAAACTTCTTGTGCAAGCAGCCATTAATCAGTGAGTATAACATTGCATAATGTTTCCGAAGCATGTGTTATGTGATCAGAGTACAAGGCTGCATAATACAGCAAAGTGTTTGTGCCATATGCTGACCTTTTCTAAAACAGAAATGGAGCCATGTGATGCGTTGCTCTTGCCAGCAGTCATTTATTGCCAATAATTAAGTCTGATGATATGAAGAAACACAAACTTGTATTCCTTTGGAGTTCTGAAAGGAAGAAGCTTTGAAGTTCCTGGTTTCTGGCACAGAGTGGAATATAAATATGGCCAAGTTGATTTGGATATATTAGTGTTATGACCACCACTCAGTTAAACTGGAATCATACACTTAGTTGAAGTGGTTACTGGCATTTATGTTAGAGAAAACACATGCCACTTTGCTTTGTGATCCAGAAAGGTTGTAGGAACAAAACAGCCAAAGGAATGCTACCTCAAATCTCAGTACATCACAACAACATTTGATGTTCTTGAGCAATAATTTAGTAAGAAGATATTACTTAATCTCCTCTACCAGTATTACACAAAAGAACACTTGTGAAACACTCCAGACAAATATGCTGTAATTACAAGAAATAACAAAAAACCTGTATAATACAAAATGGTTTTGTTACTCTCAACACACAAATTTGTGGAGATACAGTTTTAATTAGTTTTTTTAACAATGGAAACAGTATTTTAGAAGCTTCAATGAACAGTCTTAAATCTACGTAAGCAGATACAGTGTGTATGTATACATATATATTTTAGGTACATGTCCACTTACACACAAAATGAGAGAGATCCTCAGGTATGCTGCAGCTGCTTTGGCTCCTTGGTCTGTGAAATTTGGCTATGGAGCTGGAATATCCATCTCCAAATGATCACCCTAGCAAAGAGCTATGTGTCAGCACAGCATAGACTCTCCCTATGCAATTTCCTGCCCGCCCCCTCCCCCCCGTATAGGTGATATATGGTGATGGCTTCCTTATACCTTGTTGATTCCTTGGTCCCTCAAGGACTTTTGGCAGCTGGTATGACTATGGGAGATCAGATCAGCACTTGTAATCTGTGGGCATTAATGTGTGTTAAAAAGCTTCTATTCTATTCAGGTTCTCATAGTGTGTTCATGACCATTAAATCGGAACACTTTCCAGCAGTAAATGTGCCATCCCAGATCTGACTGCACTTCAGTGACCAGGGAATTGATTTTTGATCTCTTTTACCTGTGCCACCTTGTTTTGAAGCTTTATTGACATTTCTAAGATGTAAGACACTCCAAAATACAATGCATTTTAAACACAGGCATGCATGCTGGCATCTAGTGAAAAAATTTAGAAAGAGGCTTGGAAAGGGCTAAAGTGGAGAAGTCAGAAGATTTGTATAACTCCAAAAATAAATGGATTGCTTAAAACCTATGCTTAGATCAACTTTTCCACTCCTGCTTGCCTAACGTATGTGCTATTGGGTTTTTACTGCTTATTCTACAACGCTGGAGATGAAGCGAACTAACAAAGCAAGACCAAAGGTTTCATAAAAGTTGCTCTTAGTTTTCCATACTCTCCTTCTTCCCCCCTGCCCCGCGCCAACCTGGGCCCTTTCTCCCTCCCACCCTTTTCCCTCCCCCTCTGCCCCACCAGCCCAGGACCCGTCACCCTCCCACTGGCCCCCACCATCCCGGGCCCTTCCTCCTGTTCTCCTTCCCTTGCCCCTGCTGGGAGGGCTCTTTCTTCTGCCCCCCACTCCACAACCCTGTCAGCCCAGGCCCTTTTTCCCTCCCCTCTCCTGGGCCCTTTCTCTGACCCCCCCCTTTCCTCTTCCCCAACCATGA